ATTCAACCACTGAGCCATGCTGGCTGGGCCTCATTCTTTGGGGGGGCTCCTTTTCCTTGACATGGCTCTTAAATATGTTAAGTATTTCACAGAGTTCTTGCTGAGGTAGACATATTTTCTTTATGTCCAGTAGTCCCCCACTTATCCATGGTTTCATAATCACATTTCAAGCAATAATTTAATTTCAGCCAAACATCATTTATTCCATTTATTTAATGTTGCCAAGTAATGTATTTTTTATAGTTTTGTTTCTAGTATTTTGTCTATAAATTTGTTATTTTATAGCTGTACTAGAGGCCCAGTGCACAAAATTCATGCACTGGGGGCAGGGGTCCCCTCAGCCCAGCCTGCACCCTCTCCAATCTGGGACCCCTCAGGGGATGTTTGACTGCCGGTTTAGGCCCAATCCCTGTGGGGCCTAAACTGGCAGTTGGACATCCCTCTCACAATACGAGGACTGCTACCTGCTTGATTGCCCCTAACCGCTTCTGCCTGCCTGCCTGCTTGATTGCCCCTAACCGCTTCTGCCTGCCAGCCTGATCACCCCCTAACCACTCCCTTGCCAGCCCGATCGATGCCTAACTGCTCCCCTGCCAGCCCAGTCACCCCCAACTGCCCTCCCCTGCTGGCCCAGTCGCTCCCAACTGCCCTTCCCTGCCAGCCATCTTGTGGCTGTGGGCGCCACCATCTTTGAGGGCATGGCAGTCAATTAGCATATTCCCTCCTTATTGGCTGTGGGCACCGCCATCTTTGCAACAGTGTGAGGGTCAATTAGCATATTCCCTTTTTATTAGATAGGATAAAAGGTAGCAGCATAAGGAGCACATATCTAGTTTTATGCATATACAGTATTATAAGTCAATTCTAGGGGTCTACAAAAATGTTTTTCAATGATAACAGAGTTCCTATATTAATGGCTTAGGAAACACTGTTTTAGATGCTGACACTCCCATACGTGTTACCTTTCTTCCCACACTGGCTTAGAGCCAAATTTGCAGCCCATTTTCAGCAGTGTTTAGAATTTGATGGAATACATGTTGTGGTTAAATTTACCTTGTGATACTTTTTGTGATTAAATTCAAATATAGGTTCTTTACTATATTCTCTCTTTTCTTCATTTTCCTCCCCTATATTCATTGGCTTTTATCATGCTACTAGAGGCCCAGTGCCCAAAATTTGTGCATGGGTAAGGTCCCTAGGACTGGCCGGCGATCAGGGCCAATCTGTGGGGCAACCGGCGGGACAGTTGGGGGGCCCCTGCTGGCACCCACCTTGGCTGGCCTGGGGCCTGCAGGCTGGGGGCAGCTCCTGCATTGAGCGTCTGCTCCCTGGTGGTCAGTGCACATCGTAGTGACCGGTTGTCCCACCGGTCATTCTGCCATTCAGTCAATTTTCATATTGGGCTTTTATTTTATAGGATATTGTATGTATCTTGAAGGCTGCCCTAAATCCTTTCTGCAACCAGAATGAATATAAATACTTTTAGTAGTGGCCAAACAGTAATTAAAATGTGAACCCAATATAAAGCTACAATCTCAGGTGACTTTGGGTCTCATATTGGAGATGAAATACACACTCAGACACCTCTATAATCATTTCTATAGGAATAGATGGAGGTGACAGCTACTTTCTGTTAATCTGCCTCAAAAATCAAGCACAGTGCCATTTCTTCATTTTCTCTTAGGAAAAATACCAGTGCCCTCTAGTGTCAAAAATGCACCTGTGCAGTGCCCTTTATATCTGTTTATCTTCAAAGAGTAATTGTAATAATCCGATGCTGGAGATAATTTAAAAAAATAAATTTGGGGACAGGAAATCCCAGCAGCAATACACAAGCATGTTATTATCCTACAAATCACTATCTAAAATGCTCCTTTACCCCCATGCTTTCGAGAGGAAGGAATACACAAAAAATAATTCCCTGAAGAGGACAGATTTTTTTTTTTTTAAACCCACTGGTTTCTCAGGTCTCACATCTTTATCTAACTTCTTTGGAACCCAGATAATAATCTCATTATCTTTATCTTCTAATGCAACGACAATTAGGTTTATTTGTAATAATGTATTAGTAATTATCATTACAGTAGTTTCCTTTTATGGGAGGAAGGGAGACAAATTCCAAGACCCGCTATGGATGTCTGAAACCATAGATAGTACCAAACATTTTTCCTAAGCAGCCATACCTATGATAAAGATTAATTTATAAATTAGACACAATAAGAGATTGACAGCAACTAACAATAAAATAGAACAATAATAATATACTATACAATAATGCCCCCAAAGTGGATGACTTTGCACAAAATTCATGCACTTGGGTGGTCCCTCAGCCCAGCCTGTGCCCTCTCGCAGTTCAGGACCCCTCGCTCCTTACCGCCTGCTCACAGTCCCTTAGCACTGCCACAGAGGTGGGAGAGGCTTCTTTCTCGGCCACTGCTGTGCTCCCCAGCAGTGAGCCCAGCTTCTGGCTGAGTCACGCTCCCCCTCTGGGAGCACACTGACCACCAGGAGGCAGCTCCTGCATTGAGCATCTGCTCCCTGGTGGTCGGTGCGCATCATAGCAACCGGTTGTTCTGGTTGTTCTGCTGTAAGGGTCACTTAGGCTTTTATTATATAGGTAAGAGTTACTTGAACACAGGCACTGGGATGATGCAGTATCAGGTAGTCGATCTGATTATTGAGCAGCAGGCCACCAAGTGACTAAGCCTTAGTCACTGAGGAGTGGGTAGCTGTGTAGTATACAGCACGTATGTGCGGGACAAAGGGATAATTCACGTCTCAGGAGGAACAGAGCCGGAGGACTGGAGGTTTCATCATGCTATTCAGAACAGTGCGCAATTTAAAAGTTCTGAACAGTGTTTTTCTGGAATTTTCCATTTAATGTTTTCAGGACTACATTTGACCAAAGGTAACTGAAACCACCAAAAGTGAAACCGCGGGTAAGGGGAGGTGGGTGTTACTATATAGGTTCGGCCGCTGTAAAGACCCAGTCATTGGTGGTGGCGGAAAATATGTACTGTGGCATGCCTCCTTGCGCAACTGCCCAATCCTTGGCATTCTAGCTGCGGGTGGAGCGGCCCCCAAAAGCAATCCACGCTCATCGCCTGGACCACTCTTCTTTGGGCCAAAGGCGGTTCCAGACTACCGCACGTCGGGGCACGCTGGGGAGGAGACTAGCCCAGGCCCTCGGTCTAGTGTAGACCTGGAAACACTCCCCCTGCCCCTAGGTTGTCACGAAGCCCAGGGTGCTCTTGGGCGGCGTGGGTCTCAGAATACCAGCCCCAGCGCGCCCTGCTCCCGGGCCTGCAGGTGGCATTCGCGTCCTTCCACCAGGAAAAGCCGTAGCCAAGCTCTGGGGGCGCAGCAGCCCCTCTCCCGGCCCCCACGCGGAGAAGGACGCTCTGCAGCTTGCTCCCGAAGCCCGGGGATCGACCCCGACCCCCTAGCCCCGCCCACCTCGGAGGGCTCGGCGCGCAGCGATTGGTGGCGAGGCGGGGGCGGGGCTCCGGTGGGCCGAGGGGGCAGGGCCGGGAGGGGACAAAGCCGGGAAGTGGAAAGGCTGCCCCGCCTGCTGGCTGGTCTGTCCCGCGGATTTTGGAGGCTGTGTCAGACGCCCAACAGCTGGGACCCGGTGGGGTTGCCAGTGTTTGCGCTGGTGAGTTGGGTCGCGAGTGGCTGTGGCGCCAGCCCCACCCCGACGCATCGCCGGCGTCCCGACCCTGCAGGTAACCGCAGGCTGCGAGGGGCGGCGGGGCCCTGGCTTTGGGGGAGGCTCTGAGTCCGCCCACGGCTGGGGAGAAGGAAGAAAGAGATCTTGGGTTTGGAGGAAGGAATTTAGCGGCGAGTTCTGGTCGCAAAGAAGGGGGTCGGGGGGATCATCCAGGTATTGCACGTGGGAAAGGGAAGTGGGGAGGAAGTGGGTGCCAGGTGCCTGGATGTGCAGAAGGTCGGCTCTCGGGCACGGGAGGGTGAAATGGGGCGGCGGAAAGTTGTCTTCAGTGACCGTGGACGCCCAGGTCTGCATGCAGAAAGGAAAACCGAGCGATGGGGAATTGCAAGGACACGTAGAAGACTGAGTCGTGGGTTTAGGGGGAAAAAACGTGCGGCCAGGGGAACCGAATACAAAGAAAGGTGGGACCCGATGACTTGGGTGCGTGTGCTGCGAAATCAGACTGCAGGGAGAATGCCCCCGCTTGGGAGGCATGGGGTGGGAGGAGCCCCAGCACCCGTTTGCGGGGCGGGCGGGCGGGCGGAGTGGGGGATGGAGCGATCTCAAGTTCTGGGGTAGGCGTTCCCTGGCCGGTCCCCCACGCCCGTTTAAAGGTCCGGCACCCGAGAGGGAAGGAGTGGGCGTGGAGACCAGGAAGGAGGATCGGGGCCAGCTGCCGTTGCAAGCCTCTTGCACAAGGGCCACAAGGACGTAGGCAGGCCGAGAACCTGCTGGTCGCTGCGTCACTTAAGGGCGTACAAACCTCTGGACCAGCTCAGGGACGGCGAACCCCAAACTTCAGGACCAGCTAAGGGACGGCGAACCCCAAACCTCAAGACCAGCTAAGGGGCGGCGACCCCGGACGCACCCTCCCGCGTTTGCCCGCGCAGAGATCGGTGCTCCCCTAACCTTTAATTGTGCAGTTTCTACAGACCTGCACCTGCCCTTCGCCCCTCTGGGTTCACTCCGCACTGTACTTTAAACCAGATAAGCCGGGCTGTCTAAATCCTCCTGGCAAGAGGGGTTTGTGTGCTGTCTTTTTAATTCCCTGTTTGGTTTGTGGGGTTTTGTGTTTTTTTTAGGGTTTTTTTTTTTTTTAGGAGATAAACGACATTCAGCTGAGTTCCCAAGACTGAGAGGAGTTGGAGTGATTAGCAACTGATTCACGGTAAAGGTAAGAATTAGCAATTTCTTCCCTTCCGTATTTTCTTTGATGTGGCAATACTGCTTTTAATTGGTCTTGGAGATCTTAGAGGCAGGCATTGCGAGGGAGTGAGTCAGGAATATTTTCAATAATAAATTGCAACTGACTGCTTCCGTATTTCAGTTCCAGCGTCTTCTCTGCAGGAGACTATTTTTTTTTTGCCCAGAGATTATTGTAGTTCATGAAAGCAGCTTTTTAAAAAATGGCTAAAAAAAACTTGGGGTTTATGAAAAATTAAACAGGGTGAGCAGCTCTTTTTTCTTACACTAGTCAACATTAGTCCAGGCTTGTTTACTGGAGTTACACAAGTGTGTCAGAAGATTAGAATTAGGCTGTTCAGACAAAAGAACCAACCTGTGGAAAAGTCCTTCCTTCTGAAGTTGGGGTTTGGGTGGAGATAGAAAATCTGAGGGGCAAGGGTAGACAAGTGAATCCACTGGGGCCTAAAGCCCACCTCATGGAATTCAAATCTAAAATAAATAAAATAATGGCCTACATTGTAGTAAGCCAGGGTCTTCAATAAAGCTTCTGTTGTGTAGTTAACAGGTGATAAAATTTTAGTTAAGTAATGTGAGGAAGATCTGAAATACTTCAATTATGCATTATGAATATAGAACAATTACTACTCAAAACATTTACTTCAACTGAGAAGGAAATAATTAACTAAAAAATACTGTCACTCAGTGTTGAAATTTCAAGTATAGTGTATGACCTTCTATTAATTGTATTTGCCATCCAGGAAAAAATAGCCAAGTAATAACTCTTGCATAATTCTATATAGAAATATGGCCATGGAAATGTAGTATTAAGACCAAGATAAGTTTGCTGCCTCTTTTTTGTTTTGTGGTGAATGCAAGAACAGGTGTCACAGTGGGATCCGTGTGACTGAATCATATACTCGTACTTTAAGCTGTACTGTAAATCATACTTGAAATTACAAATGGGAAGTAATTGACTCATCCACACCAGTTTGTTCATTTCTTTTATTCTACTTGAGTTCCAGATGGTTCCCCAGTAATAGTAACATAAGCAGGATTCTAGAATTGCAAACCTGGCAAGTGAAAATGGGCCTGGGGGTAGAAAGGTACCCTGGCTTGTCACAGAAACCAAGGCTTACCACCTACTGATCACGACATTCTTTAATTTGAAGGCCAACTACTTGAGCTCAACTTTTCAAGAGAGTCTGCTTACAGGCCTTTTACCTAATAATGTTTAAAGTCAGCTATACATGCAGGGGAGGAAAAGCAACTTGCAGTTGTGTTGCTGGGGGAGGGAAACTTCCCATTAGTGCTTCAGGAAAGGGAACAGATACTTTGATCAGGCTCAAGGCGTCCTCTGCCTCCCAGAGAACATGCGTAGGACAGGGCCTTCCTTTAAGCCTCATAGTCTTGCTTTTCCAAAGTGTGCACCCCCACACCCTGTTCCTCAAAATGGCATCTCTTCCCGAGACAGTTCTCCTTCCCTATGCCACGCACTGACAGCTCACCTTTGCCCACGAACAGCCAGCAGAACAGGACCGGAGTTGGGTTACTGAGGAAGAAGACAGGGACATGCTTGGGTCCTGAGCAGTGACCTTGTATAAACAGATTTCTCTGATGGAGAAATCACTCTTGTATTTAGCTCCACATCCTTAGTATTTAATATTGTCTCTAGGGAAGCAGTTCCACCAGGAATTCTTCATCTTTCACTTTTAGACTTAAAAGTTCTTTACACATAAGTCACATCTCCTTGAAGGTAGTTATTTGAAGCAAAACAGCCTCTTAAAAGAGGGGAAATATTAGCTCTCATTCTGCTCATCTTGAGGGCACAGTATAGTGAGGAGTTGAATAGAAGTGTTCAAATAAGCATGATATTGTGGAAATAATCTTATTTTCCAGGACAAACCGATCGTCACGAATAATGATTACATTACTGAGGGCATGTTACAGGAGCAGGTTCCAGATGCTCTAGCAGGTGGCCTTGGGAAAGCTACTTCTCTTATATCAACGTAAAATAGGAAATAATTCCATCTTTCAGGGTTGTTGCGAGGGATAACTCAAACCACACATGAAGCATGTAACACAATGCTTTATGTAGAGAATGTGCTCAATTCTAATGGTAACTGTAATTACTATTAGCTTTTCATGCAGTCATGCTACTATGAATTATTCTTTTAGTAGTCCCCAAATGTTTCTATTTTGTTTTTATACTAGTGATACTGTGCAGAAACTTCATTTCTTTACTATGATCTTTTCTTCTTTCTCTCCTTTTCATTCAAACTGACCTCATCCAGCACCCGACTCACCTTCTCCCTTACATGTCCAGTCCCTTAAGCATTAAGCCCTCAGGACTATGAGGTTCTGGTCAACATCAAATAATCTTAAGAACAAGGCCTCGGGTCTTTTGACCACAGAGACAGAGTTTCAATTAAACTAAAGACGGCATCTAGGCCTCAGTTGTGTTTTAGCTCCAGACCCAGAAAAGTGGTGAAACCAGATGAAGCGACACCATGGCTGACATCAGGAGCAGATGCACTGATCACCACGCTCTACCCTAGCGCCTACCAATCAGTAGAGACCATAACCTTGACCATGACCCTAACTCCCTTAGTCACCGTGATGAATGATTTTCCCCCTATATAATCCACCCTCTGAAGTACATGATGGTTCAGGGTCTTTAAGCATTAGCTCACCTGTGACTCCAGGTATGGGCCACTTCCTCAAGTAATAAACCCTTACTTTCTTGGCTGCAAACTCCTGTTCGCTTCTTATTGGGCTTTGATGCATGCAGACAAAGGGATCTCTTTAGTCCGGGTAACACTATCTATATATATAAAAGGCTAAGTGACCGGCTGACCGGCTGGTAGATATGACGTGCACTGACCACCAGGGGGCAACACTCAATGCAGGAGCTGCTGCTCAGCAGCAACTTTGCAGAGTGCTCTCTCGCTCTCTGGGACCCCTCAGGGGATGTCAGACTGCTTGTTTCGGCCCGATCCCCCACAGCCAGGCCGAGGGACCCAACCTGTTGGAGGGACTCCGCTCACTCCGCAGACATCCTTCAAGCCCTGGCGCTGCCCCAGGTGCGGCCGGCCAGGGAGGGACCAAGGGAGGTTGACTCCAGGGTGTGTCCGGCCTGTCTCACCCAGTCCCACCCCGCCGGCCACCTTCTAATTAATTTCCTTTCCATGTGCATGAATCTATGCACCAGGCCTCTAGTAATGAAGTAAATGACAAGATATGTATCTTATCTTTTTATTTTTTCTCTTCTTTTTAAAGGTTTAGTGAAAATGTCTCAAAAAATCCATGGCGGTTCAGTGGTAGAGATGCAAGGAGATGAAATGACACGAATCATTTGGGAGTTGATTAAAGAAAAACTCATTTTTCCGTATGTGGACCTGGACCTGCACAGGTAAATGAATTACAGTCATGTGCAACTTAATGACACGGTCACATTCTGAGAAGTGTGTGGTTCAGCAGTTCTGTCATGCGAACAGCATAGCATGTGCTTAAATCTGGATGGCGTAGCCCACTACACACCTAGGCTCTGTGATACAGTCTTTTGCTCTGTAGGAGAAGAAAAATAATTTTCCCTCTACCCTTCCGGGTCCTTGACTGAGACATCCCAGTAATAAAAGAGAGATTAAAGGAAAAAAGGAAGTCTAGTAATATGTGTACCTCCTGTATACTGGGAGCGATTCAAGAAAACTGAGGAACTCTCCAGAATGGTCGAAGCCACCACCTTAAACACTGTCTTTGGCTGAAGACAAAAGAAAATGTTGGTGGGGAGGTCAGTTATAGGAGGTGACCATGTTAAGCAGCAAACAAGGGTAAGGTGTGAGGCATATTTAGGTCTTCCTCCTCTGCATTCATAAGAGTCTGGAGCTGAGGTCACCCCCCTCTTCCTGGTACAGCGAGAGGCACCCTGGACAAATGGAGAGTTCCCTTACGAATGTAAATGTATTTTCAAGGGGTCACTTCTCCTTGACTTTTAGAATTTCTCCCATGTCTGTTCCTTAAAATCAATCAGCCTAAAATGATCCTTAGGCCAAAGAGACATATTTTGGGGAGACAATTCTGTTCCCCTGCAGCTCCTCAGCCACACTTCTCCTGACGACTCAAGGCAGTTGTAACAATGGTACGTATTGTGTTGCACTACAACTTCACCACTGCTACGACATCATTAGATGACGGGAATTTTTCAGCTCTGTTATAATTTTATGGGACCATTGCCGTATATGTGGCCCATGACTGTTCCTCCACATCGAAAACTCAAAGTATAATCTTAAGGGATTTCAGGATATAACTAGCTTTTTTACATAGATACAGCTGAATCCTGTGAATAAAGCCTGGAAAGAGTGCCTGAATATGTGCCAATGAATCTTACTATTTTTAAAATATATTTTTATTGATTTCAAAGAGGGAAAGAGAGATAGAAACATCAATGATGAGAGAGAATCATTGATTGGCTGCCTCCTGCATGCCCCCCACCCCCACACTGGGGATTGAACTCACAACCCACGCATGTGTCCGGCCCTGGAATTGAACCATAACCTCCTGGTTCATACGTCAGTGCTCAACCACTAAGCCATGCCAGTTGGGTTGCCAATCAGTCTTCTTTTTAAATTTGACATTGCTAGATATACTGGACTTATAATTCAGAAGACAAGAAGTGTAATGGGAACAACGTGATTCTCAGGTCTTTCCAAGCCTCTGTTTCCTATAAAGGTTTTATTTGTAATAAATCAGTCGCCAAGAGCAGTACCAAGTATTTGCAGAAGGGAAAATAATAGAGGTACATCCTTGTGTTAAACTGTAAATGAAGTTGACACAATTTTGATCTTTCAAGCTCTACTTTCTTTTGTTTTCCTCTTTAAAAAAAAAAAAAACATATACACACACACACACACATTTTAATTGATTTCAGAGAGGAAGGGAGAGGGAGAGAGAGAGAGAGAGAAACATCAATGATGAAGCGAATCATTGATTGGCTGCCTCCTGCAAGCCCCCTACTGGGAATCGAGCCTGCAGCTTGTGCCCTGACCAGGAATCAAACCATGACCTCCTGGTTCATAGGTCGATGCTCAACCACTGAGCCACGCCCTGTTTTCTATCCTTCTACTTAACTAGCCAGTGGATCTTTTCCCCTTTTTATTCCTTGCCTTTGCCCTTTTCATACAGTTATAGTACAGAAAGAACCCCTGAAGTTATTTTAATAAAACACCGACCTGTCACAAGCGCCCTTAAACATTTGTGTCCTAAAGACTTGAGCCTTTGCCCGTGTGTAAAGTGTTCGGAGACAGATATGAAAGGCTGTGTGCAATGCTCATTTTTTCCCCGGTGTTTTCATAAACTCGCTCATGCTTTTTGAACATTTGAATTAGGTAGAAACAGAATTTTTCCAAGGGTGCAGTGGCTGAAGACTCACATTTTAGCCAAACTAGTGGCAGCTGGAAGTGTATATGTCTTGACCAGAATTGTGCATTAGACTATGTCCCGAGGACCTGTTATATTTGCTTGGGTGTAGACATTCAGTTTACATGGTGTCATTAGACACCCTTTTTAATTATTCTAAGCTTAAGCTGTTGATAATATCACTGTTGCAACCACAAGATGGAGCAAATACCTGCAGAGGTCAACAAAACATACAGGAAATGAAGCATAAAAGCATCATCCAAGTAGGTTTAAAGAAGCGTTTTTACCAGCGCTCTCCTGTTTCAGGTGAGTGTGCAGGGCCCTTGCCAGTAGAATAGTTACAAAGATGCTTTGAGCCTCCTTAGCCTAGAGACATAAGGGGTTTTAAAGGATAGTCCTTAGGCCCAGTAAAAACTGTCACTGGCTATAGACCAAAGAATGTTTAGAGGCTCAAACAGGTTGTAAGCTGTTCTAAAATTGCTATTATTACATGACTGGTTCTTTTTTGAGGGGAGTGAAGGAATTAATTTGTTTTGTTTTCTGCAGACTGGACTGCGGTCCAGGCCATTATTCATTTTCTCTTAGAAAGGTTAAGAAGAGAAGCAAAAATTGCAGGCATGTACTGCTATGCTAGTCTCTCCTGCTGAAAAAGGATTCCTGTGAACATGAGCACTGCTGACTGCATTTCTTGTTTGAGTTAGGAGTAGATGTTTGCAGATACTCAGCACTTCCTGTGCCAGGAGATAAGGGCGTTTGTGCTCTGTTACATTTATATGAATTAGCTAAGGTCAAAGCAGTCTGGAGTTCTTGTTGTTGTTGTTAATCCTCACCCAAGGATATTTTTTCCATTGCTTTTCAGAGGGTGGAAGGGAGAGGGGAAGTGGGGGAGAGAGAGAAACATACACAGCTATTAGTTGCCTCCTATACGCACCTGACGGGGAGCAGGGAGTGAGCCCCAAACCCAGGGGTACATGCCCTTGACCAGGAGTCAAACCTGAGACTCTTGGGTGCACAGGCCAACACTCTAACCACTGAGCAGCACCAGCCAGAGCTGGAATTGTTTTTATTTGGAAATTTAAGATTGCTGCCTCTGCATTTGTATCATGAGTTGGGATAACTAAGGAAAGGAAATACAAGAACTAAAAAGAAATCTAGAGGCTTCGTGGTTCAGCAAGTTAGGAAAGCTGAAAAACTTTAAAACCTTGGAGAACAGAATAGTCACATTACTGTTTTGGTTTTCCTATTTTGGACAAACTATTCCATACTTTAGATAAAACCTTACAATCATTGTCTGTGCTCTGTGAACAACCAACATCCTTTTCAGCTCCGAATCACTGGCAGTCTGGCTGTTGGTATACCAAGCTCTAGCCTTCTGGGGTATATAAAACCATTGCTTGATTCCATTACTTATCCAGTAAACTGCAGGCTTGTGTCCAGAACAGAGAAACTTACCCACGAATTAGGGCAAGGTTCATCATATAACTACCTGGCATTAATGAAGGATTCATTAGTTTTTTTGTCACTAAATGTCACATTTATAAATCCCACTACTTGAATATCAAATATAAGAAACAAAAATTTTAACCAACTCTGATCCCTTTATTTTTAGAGCACTGTATTTACTAAGGAAAAATGTGCTAAGGCGGTGCTTAGTGTTGCTTTTTTATGTTAATTATATGGACGTCTGCCAAAGGGTTGCTCCAGCACTGTTATTGCCTCTATATGGTGAAAGCTGGCAAAGGTGCAAAGCACAATGGTTTCCATTCAGTTTCCTTCCAGACAGCCTCCCACTGCAGCACAGGGAGCCAGGGCCCAGCCGGCGAGCCTCTCAGGGCTGCTTTTAGTTGGCACCGTCTTCTGTGTCTCGGGTACATTCATGCCGAAGCGTGGCAGATGTGGGTATACGGAGAGCCTTCACTTTCTGCAGGGCAAGCTCTGCGTGCCAGCACCGTGCAGAGACAGACAGACAGAACGGTAGCACCCTCCGTCACCCACCGCTCTGTCTGGGTTTTTTCCTCCCAGCTATGATTTAGGCATCGAGAACCGTGATGCCACCAATGACCAGGTCACCAAGGATGCCGCAGAAGCTATAAAGAAGTACAACGTTGGCGTCAAGTGTGCCACCATCACCCCCGATGAGAAGAGGGTTGAGGAGTTCAAGTTGAAACAGATGTGGAAGTCGCCCAATGGCACCATCCGAAATATTCTGGGTGGTACTGTCTTCAGGGAAGCTATTATCTGCAAAAACATCCCCCGGCTTGTGAGCGGATGGGTGAAACCCATCATCATAGGTCGTCATGCGTATGGGGATCAGGTAAGTCATGCGCCATAATTTGATTTTCCATTCTTTCTTCATGGCCTTGGGCTGCCCAGCAGTTCTGAATTACGTGAGTTTTATGTTTATCTTTTGGTGACTACTCCCATTAAACAAAGTGCACGATTGAGAAGTGCATCTATGTATATCTGTATATTTACACATCTAGGTAGAAGTAAGTACAGAAAGACTCACAGGCATCTGTCTCAACACACATGATTTTTTTCAGACGTATTTTTTTCTTTTCTTTTTGTTAATTTAAACCATATAATATTGACATTTTTGTATGGATAATTTCCTGTGCTTCAACCAAATTAGTAATTCTCAACCTTGGCTCTAAAAGGATCCATTTATAGGCTTCTTTGGTGTTTGTTTTATTTTGAATTTTAAAAAAAAATGTTTTGTTCTGTTTTAATTCCAGTACTTGAGACCTGATGAATCTGAATCTGATGGAATTCAGGCATTTTAAGCTCCCCAAGTGATTCTAAGTGCAGGCAGGGTTGGTAACCACCAAAGATTATATGACACGTGGTCATTTCATACATAAAAGGAAAAAACTAACCCAGTAGTTGAAAACAGTCGCTTTAAAACAGTTTTTTTCCTACTTGGAAAAGAAAGTTTCATTTCTGTACTTCTGTACAAGTAGGCTGGCTGCCAAATTACACAGAAAACCAGCCAACCAAACAAAATCAAAATTTCATGTTGAAACTGAGGCATGAAGAGTTTCATAGGAAGTAGTGTATGTCTTAAAAGACCCTGAAAACAAGCGTCCCTAATTCTGAAATCCAGAGGCTTTGGTGTATATAGCTGTCCTTGAAAGTCTGGCCAGGGCAGACCACCATCTATTCCTGGGACAGGGTCACCAGTCACTCCCTGATGGGTAGTTCCCTTTGTTCTATCCTGTGGCTCAAACTATGCCTCCATCCTGACCTGTCCCTTCACAGGTACCTACCAGAGGCCAGGACAGGCAGTGTAGATGGGAGTGCTGCACACGCCCTAATTCTGGGAATACCCCTCTAAGCTCTTGTGAGTTCAGTGGTGTCATTTTTGTCTGCTGCTGCTGCTGTTGTTGTTGTTGTTATTATTATTATTATTATTATTATTATTACTTTGGTATCAATCACTTGGAAGAATGATTGCTCATTCTATTAAAGTCCAGATTGAAAATTCTAAACCTCTGGTCGATTCCCTGATCGTGTGGATATGCATAAACATCTACAAAGCATGTATGGTGTTTGGTGCCTCGGTTTCTTCCTTTTGAGAACGGAATAAATTACCGTAGTAGAGGATTTTATCTGTCAGAGGATTTTATATGTTAGGCAAGGCCATATGCCTGGGTTGCATGCTTGATTTTTATTGTGTGGCTACCTAAAAGTGAACCTTCATCGTTATCTGACAGCTTTTACCAGCTGTCATTAGTATTGCTCTATACAAACAACCAAAGGATGCTGGTACCTGACTGAAACTAGTCTTCTCTATCATTGAAGAAGGCACAATGCAGCCAAGACTTAACAGGTGCCTAGTGCAGGCTGCGCACATTTCCCCACCAGAGCAGCTTCATGCCCACGAGAGAGGTGGCTTTCCTCAGACGGCCCTTCTCTAAGGGCCACCAACCTGCGCAGCTGCTTCCAGGACGGTGGCTTCATGTGGACAAGTTCCGGGCGAGGCATCGGCAGTGACGATAATCATGAAGAGACAGCCCTGAAGGTCCAAGGACCAGATCCCAAGTCTTTTGACCCTAGATGCATATTTCCACAACACCGCAGTCCCTTCCTTGTAAGAGAGATGTAAGAATCAAGTGAGATAATAAGACGAACTGGTTACTCACTTAAAGCATCTGTCCTATAGTGAGGACAAGGCATTCGCTCTTTATCATCTCCAATACCACAACTAGTATACTCTCACCCCCTATAGGCAGACCTCCCTGACCTCCAGGTCATGCCATGTCTCTTCCTCTGCCATCCGATAGCATGTTTACCTATGCCCAGTTTGGTAAGGGAAAGTACTTGGTTAATTCTCACTCCTCTCCATACCAGTGCTCAGAAAACCGCCCTGTGCGTGGTAGGCACCCAATAAATACTGATCTCTAACGTGTGCTACCACTGATTAGCTTCAGGGACTCTCTGGACCTCCTCGTCCCCATCTCTAAAATAAAAGAAGGTTGAGCTACACACTGTGCTATTTATCTAGGTGTCTTCCAACTCTGTCCTATGATTTTTTTTCCTATTTTTTGTAATACTTGTTGGAATAGTTGTTTTAATACCTCTCCCTCTCTCCCCCCTACGCAGTACAGAGCAACTGATTTTGTTGTTCCCGGGCCTGGAAAAGTAGAGATAACCTACACGCCAAGTGATGGGTCCCCAAAAAAGACATACGTGGTACATAACTTTGAAGGTATGTAATTAAACTTCATCATGATCATTTTTTCACAGATCGTTTAGACAGCATTATTTCCAGTTGTTTAAAGTTTGTTGTGTGGCTGCCTAAAAGTGCAACCTGAATCTACAACATTACTACGGGACCTTAAATCTGAATAAAAAAGTAATTGGTTTCCACGCCTTCCTGTGGCCTGGATAAGGGCACAAAAGGGATTAGCCTCCCAGTTGGAAATGCATATAGGCAGACAGGTTGATAAATAGGCATTTCTCTTAAATCACGAAGGGAAGGTTGGGTTGGCAGGAGTTTGTTGTGCACGAATTATATAAATTAAAAGTGAATAGCCCTAGCTGGTTTGGCTCAGTGGATAGAGCATCGGCTTACGGACCAAAGGGTCCGGGTTTGATTCTGGTCAAGGGCACATGCCTGGGTTGCGTGCTTGATTCCCAGTAGGGAGTGTGCAGGAGGCAGCCGAGCAATGATTCCCATCATTGATGTTTCTTTCTCTTTCTCTCTCTCTCTCTTTCTCTCTCTCTCTCTCTCTCCCTTCTTCTCTGAAATCAATAAAAATAAGTAAATAAATACAAAAAACATGAATATCTCCAACTCTCCTGTCATGTAATCCTACCGTTTGCTCTGGTAGGGTTTGTATTAAAAAAAATGGTTGTGTTATATACTTGCTGAAATGTTCTTCTTGCCCATCTGCGTATTTATTCTGTGGAAATAGAACACTTGTTTTTTGCCTTTTCTTGCCCAACATTCTCCTGCTTCAAAAGGTCCATTATGGTGAATTCCACTCAAAACAGGGGACCCTCTTTCTCCATTATTGAAGTTATTAAAAGCATTCACACAAACAAAAATGCAAAAGTTACCTAGCTTTTGTTTTCCTTGCTTCCTCTAAATAATAACCCTTTTTAATTGAATTTATTGAAGTGACATTGGTTAATAAAATTATACCAACTTCAGGTGTACAATTCAACAATACATCATCTGTATGTTGTGTGTTTACCACCCCTGGTCAAGCCTCCTTCCATCACCATTCATCCCCTCTCCCCTTTATTTTTTTCTACCTGCCCCCTTCCTTCTGGCAATAACCATACTGTTGTCTGCGTGTATGAGTTTTTCTCTTTTTTCTTCGCTTAATCCCTTCACCCTTCTCACCCAGCCCCCAACCCCCTGCCCTCCAACAGCTGTCAGTCTGTTCTCTGTATCCATGGGCCTTGTCATTTTCATGGAATCTAGCTCTGCGGCTTTCAGCACCTTTCACATTCTGTGCCCAAGTTGGCCCTGGACAGTGGAATGGATTCAAGTTCTGTCTTTCAGCAATAACAAAGTTCAACTAACAGGCGTTGTGAAACACCAGTGATTACATGTAGCCTAACTTTTTCTACCAATGACGATGTGAACTGTCTGTATCCTCCAGGGAATTATGAGAATTTTCATTCTCTGGCTGAGGATTGAATGCGCACTTAGAGTTTAAAATACAGATTTGAAAATTTAAAAGTATGAAAGGACAGTTTAAAAATTATTCATCCTTTCTTGAGTATAGCTCTGGTTCATATCAGTGGATTTTTATATTTTAGTGTCTTCAGCTTCCTAAAAACCATATCTCTTTATATCATCTCTGTTGCCCTTTTAAAATAACTTAGAATGTCCTTAACTATGCCTGACTTCCCGCCTATTCTGTGCCTCAGGAGCTCATGGGATGTTCAAGTTGGGAGCCTGGCTGGGACTTTTTGAAGCCTGGGCTTAGATATGGGAGCTGGGAATTGGATGATTTGTGGTTGTGGGTGGATTTAAACTTGTTACAACTGTACCCCATTTCTCTTTTTTTCTCTCCTTGGTGTCTCCCCACAGAGGGTGGTGGTGTTGCCATGGGGATGTACAATCAAGATAAGTCAATCAAAGAGTTCGCACACAGTTCTTTCCAGATGGCTTTGTCCAAGAGTTGGCCTTTGTACCTGAGCACCAAAAACACTATTCTGAAGAAGTATGATGGGCGTTTTAAAGACATCTTTCAGGAGATCTATGACAAGTAACTACAGTTCTTTTTTCCTTCCTTTTTCTCACACTGGCATCTATAGTATGGAATTTGCATGCTTATCCCTTTGGTTCTGGGGAAAACTGAGTGAAAACCATCACTATCCCGTGAAGACAAGAGCGAAACAGATTTAATGGGAGTGAAACAAAATCACTCTAAGTTGCTTTTCAAAGATAAATGTGTTCTCAAATCTGGGTCCCACATTTTTTTTTCAGAGCCAGAATTATGTATTGTTTGAAGAAAGGTGCCCTGTTACTGATAGTTCTCATTTTTCGAGCCTGAGTTTCTGAGTGGGGCCCATTTCTATTCTGCCTGAAACCCATTGCCGTGACTGAAAACTCTGCTTTAGTGTAGCCTCTTGGGCTGACGTCTACATTTATAACAACTGTAGATTCAACAACATGCGAGCATGGGTTAAATTTTAACTCCCTTTCAGGTGCAGGGTTTCAGGCCAGGGCACAGTTTGCACATCTCCTTCATGAGACATTTTAATTCCTCTTCCTGCTGCCCATGCTCTAAGCCTGGAAGCTGTCCTAGTTTCCTGAATGATATCAAGCAATAGAGTGGTCTTCCCCCCCGCCCCACCACCCCATTACATTCTTAAAGTAAGCGAATCGCAAGACTCTGACTAGCTGTGTATGGAAAACTGTGGAAGTAGTGCTGGGGAAACCCGTCTCGCTCAGTTCTCACATCTCCAGAGTGGTTGCATAGCTTGACAACGATTGGGCAGGGGTTTGAGCCCATGTATCAGGTTCCTAAGTTTGTGCTGCTTCCAGCCCCACCCGTCAGCCCCCCTTCAGAAGCATATGACGCCCCTCACAAAACCAGTTTTCCTCCTTTTCTGTTCTTGTCTCTCTTCCCTCCCAGGCAGTACAAATCCCAGTTTGAGGCCCAGAAGATCTGGTATGAGCACAGGCTCATCGATGACATGGTGGCCCAAGCCATGAAGTCGGAGGGAGGCTTCATCTGGGCCTGTAAAAACTACGACGGCGACGTGCAGTCCGACTCCGTGGCCCAGGGTAAGGAGCGGGGCCACCAAGCAGAGGTGGAGCGGGTCCTGCGGCAGGTGGGCGATGCCACCGTCGTCTTCCGGTTTAGGAAGAAGGATTCTGTAGCCCTTGTCTGTAAAAGCCAGGAAATGTGAGTGCTGCCCGGCACCCAGGCCCCGCTGCTCAGCTGACCCAAGAGGAGGTTGGGCTCCGACTGGGGAAGCTACTCCTCAGGGTCGCACCGGAAGTAGCTCAGTGGTTGAGACTCTGGGCTCCAGCCTTGGATGTGTTAACACAGTTTCCCCACTTGAAGTTTCAGTGCCTCCAACAGGCAGCCCACCTGCCTGGTCTGAAAATCACTCTCTTTCCTGCCTTTATTTCCCCCCCTGAGAATGTGAAAAGCTAGGCCACTTGGCAAGGAGGGGGTAAAGTGAGGGTTCTGGGCTGTCTAATAACCAAAGGGGATCTCGCCAAGAGCTCATTGTTCTTTTTTCATTTTTTTAAACAATTCTAAATGTTTCTTCCCCTAAAAACATAGCCTCAAAATACATGAAGCTGGAAGCTAGAAGGGAATTTTGAAATCTTTTGCCTAGTCCAACCGCTTTCTCTCTTTCATTTTCTTCCTTTCTATTTCCTTCCCTCCCTTCCTCTTTACTTCTTCCTCTTCTTTATTCTTCTCTTTCTCTCCCTCCTTTCACAAATGAGGAAACTGAGGCCGGAGGGGAAGTCACTGTAGGACACATCCCATGAGAAACAGGCGGGTGTGAGATCCAGGTCTTCCAGGTGCTTTTCCAGGCCCCTTCCCTGTTCACTGCACTTACTGAGCTTGAACCACCGTTGTCTTGATGCAGTAACAACTATTATTAAGGTGAAGGTATTGAGGGTACGTAAGTAAACAGACCACTAGAGGGGAAACAGACACTAGACACCATTCCTCATTTCTCGACAGTTGATTGGCATCAGCTAGCACAGCAGGAGCAAAGGGTTGAAAAGGAATCCAAGGGCTCACTTGTCTGGCAGCAGGAGCTTCTCGTGCCCTTTCAGCCAGCCCTGAAGGCTGCTCTGTGCGTGTTCACTGCTTAGGTTGACACACAGAGGAATTGAGCAGCGAAGCCCAGGGCTGTTCATAGAAATTCAGAAACGTGTCCAGTGTCATCAACAGACACTCTTCCCTTGATTTCCTCAGCACCAAGTGGCCCTTCAATTTCAGTGTCAGCTTGACACTCCCCTGGTGAATGTTTGTGTCGACTTGAATTATGTTTGCTTTTCCCAGGAAGTACTACTTTTCCTTTCCCTTATGAAAAAGTTAAACATCTCTTATCAGTTTTAAATCAGTAGGTCAAGGCAGTTAAAGGCCACTGTGATGTCAGATGAATGAGTTGCACACCCTTTGCTCTCCGGTAGCTCTAATTCTCAGGATGCAGGAGAGGAAGGAGTGTTGCTTTGTGATGACTCCATGGTGGGTAAGGGGAACGTCCTTGTCCTCAGAGTTCTCCATAAGGGACCCAGATCATTCCATCATTTCTGCATAGCCTCTTGGCAGCAAGAAGAGAGGATTTAGGGTGAAATTCCAAAGGCAAATGTCAGTTACAGAGGTTCAAAAGACTCTGAAATGGGAGTTCTGAAGGGCAGTGGCCAGGAGCACACTGATAGGATGCCCGGAACCAAGGCTGCTGGGCAGAGCCCCCAGATAAGTGTGACCTCAAGGCAGCTAACCAGATTAAAAGGCAGCCGGGCTGTCTTCACGTTATTCTTCTCTGGGGGAATGAGCTACTTTGGCCTCACTCCAAACATTTCACTTACAGCTTCTATTTTGACAGTGATACCAACTGGTATCTCCTAGCGTTACCGCATAGGCAAACTCACCATGGAGAGTGAAGTGTCCTGCACTTACTTCTCCAGTCAGTCAGTGTTTGAGAATTTGCGGAAGCCTCAGACCAACACAGTGACATGATAGGAACTCGTAACCTGCACAGGAATTTCTAACTGTGTCAAAGATGAGTTTAAGAAATTATTTATGCTTGTTTACTTATTCTCAGATTTAGAAAAAAATAACGGCCCATTATAAATTTGCATTTACTTCTCAGGTGCTTTGGGGAAATAGCAAAAGTGGAGAAATGTGTTCTTTGAAATCAAGTGTAAAAGAGTGATAAAAGAAGAAAAGTCAGTTGCATGGACTTAAAAGTTATAATATGGTTCCCAGAATAAGAAACCACAGAGTAGAATTATTTTGGTGGGGCTGTTAGAGTAAGGACGAGTGGAATGTTCTTGGATCCACCCCATCCTCTCCTTACCTGCCTTTTCTTACCAGCCCCAGTGAGTCTGAGCAGCTTGATGGCAGAAGACAGCTCACTGGTGTTTATTCTCCCAGAACAGGGAGGCATCTGCATGTAAGAGTCGCAGTAATGTGCTGGGCTCTTCCTCTGTGGCAGGTGCCATCTGCTGGGGTCCAACCCCAGCGGGTCCAGGGGTCCCCAAAGGTGTGGATGGAGTCGGCGAAGAAGGAATGACACGGAGACAGTGTTCAGTTCATCAGCAGCCTAGCCAGGATCTCTAGCCAGGATCTCCAGCCAGGTTCTGTGTCCATGTTCTCTTGGTAGGTTCTCCAGGCAGGTTCTGTCCAGGTTCTCCAGCCAGGTTCAGTCACCAGGTTCTAGTCAGGTTCTCTTGCCAATTTCTGTAGTCAGGTTCAGTCCAGGATCTTTTGCCATGTTCTCTCCAGCGAAGTTCTTCTGTCTGTAGGTTCTGTGTAGGTTCTGTGCCTAGGTTCTGTCTCTCCTCGTTCTGTCTTCTTACATCTGTATTTATACCAGTTGATTCCAATCCTATCAATCTCTATTTCAAAGGTTAGGGTGTTTCTTATCTCCATTCCAGGGAGTAAAGATTATGTAGCTTAAGCATGATTGTTCGTAGTTAAAGTGATTAATTACCCACCTGGCACTTAGTTAAGAGGTTTTATTCCCTCCCTAACTTCAGGGGAAAATCCCTACCTGGGGAAACAACCTTTCTCAGAGACCTTGGTTAAAACACATAGTGCCAAGAACGTGAGCAAACATATTAAGAACAGTATGCCATATATGCCAGGTCCCTTGAAACAGCAAGGATGGACCGGCTCCCAGCAGCCATCCTAAGGAACAAATAAATTTCGTGTTTACTCCTGCACATACGTGTATTCATCTAATTCGTACAAGCCGATCAAGTAGGTGTTTTATTATTCCCATTTTATAGGTTAGAAAACTGAGCCACAGGAGCTAGGAAGTCACAGAACTAGGGTGGAATGCAGGCAGTCAGACCCTGAGTCCCCGAGATCAGTAAGTGCGGGAAAAGGACTATGATGTTTGTTTGGCTTCCCGGGACCCGTGAAGATGAAGTCATTTGCTCTCGTCCCTGAGCGACCCGGGGCTCTCCATGCAGTTGAAGCCAGTACTTCATGCTCTGCCACTTACAGGTTATGGCTCTCTGGGCATGATGACCAGCGTGCTGATTTGTCCAGATGGCAAGACGGTGGAAGCAGAGGCTGCCCACGGGACTGTCACACGTCACTACCGCATGCACCAGAAGGGGCAGGAGACATCTACCAATCCCATTGGTAAGAGACTGAATAACTGCTACACTGACATCCAGCCAGAGAGTGGAGATCCAAAAGGGACTCCGACATGTTCCTTTGGCTGCCAGATGCTTTGTGTGTAAAATTACCACCACGCGGCTGACTTGTTCCCCTAACGGGAGCTGTTTTAACATGCTTCTTAAAATATACGCAATAGATGCTTTTTCACTTGGCGGGACAGTACATATCATAGAGGAGAATGTTATCAACAGCATTTTCCTTTCCCTGTGGTGCATTGAAATGTCACATATGGCTAAGAGTCTAAGAGCCACACAAATAGATCCTCCTAACCATGCTTCAAGGATAGCACACATTCAAAAGAGATTACAGGTTGCGGGTTTGATCCCAAGTCAGGGCATGTACAGGAGGCAACTGATCGATGTTTCTCTCTCTCTCCCTTCCTCTCTCTAAACATATCCTCAGGTGAGGATAAAAGAAAGAGAGAGAGAGAGAGAGAGAGAGAGAGAGAGAGAGAGAGAGAGAGGAGGGGAGACCAATATAGACAAGAGATAGAAGAGATTGTGACCTTCTGCAAATCAGTAAGTGCCTTAAGCTTCAAGCTACTTGCACACAGTGAAAATGTGCTTCCTTGCAGCTCTAACAAAACCCAAAGCATTTCTCCTACAAACATGCAGATTTTTAAAAGTTTCTATTCAGTAAAATATTTCTAACTCTCCTAAAATTTAGAGTGCTTGAGGAGAGCATCTGATGAAGTCAGTCACCTAAATTTAAAAAACAAAAAAGGATTCTATCTTTGGGAACTGAAACATTGGGAATATGTCTGGCTGGTATGGTTGACGTGTGTGCTTGGTCTTTTCCCTCTCAGCTTCCATTTTTGCCTGGACCAGAGGCTTAGCCCACAGAGCTAAGCTTGATAACAACAAAGAGCTCGGCTTCTTTGCAAAGGCTCTGGAAGACGTCTGTGTTGAGACCATCGAGGCTGGCTTCATGACCAAGGACTTGGCTGCTTGTATTAAAGGTTTACCCAAGTAAGTGTAAGACGCCGTGAGCTCTGTGGTCAAATGACCACTTATCCTCCCTGGGCTCAAAACATCAGTGCTTTTTGGAAGTATCTGTGATTCATTACTCATCATCTAGTTCAGCGGTCAGCAGACACTACCTATAAATTGTCAGACAATAAACATTTCAGGCTTTGTGAATATACAGCCTTTTCAAAACTAAGCAGCTATTGAACTTTGTGGCCTGAGAGCAGTTGCAGATAATTAGCCTCTAGAATGGGTGTGGCAGCGTTTCATTCGAACTATGCACAGAACTAGGCTGCAGCCTGGATTGGGTCCTTGGGCCAGTGTATAGTCTGCTGACCCTTGATCCAGTGGACAGCCATTGGGTGGCAAGGTTCCATTTAATTTAAAAAGAAAATTGTAGACAGAAACAAAGGGACCCCTGAGGCTATTTCAGTCCACCCTCTATTTTTCCACTTTGCAGAGAACAGTAAGCAGCACAGGGGTTAGATGCTGAGCTGGTCAGATCTCTTCCTTAAGTATCTGCAACCAGCAATCACACGGTCGAGGCCCGTGTATTGCCCACGGTTTGTCTGAGATCATGGTAACCCGTATTCCAGCTGGATTAGCTGCTAATCAGAGACTTTGTCCTCAAAGTCAGAGTTGTTTACTCTGATTCACCTCTGGAAACACTGAGTTTAACATCAATCCCATGTCCCAGCTGTGTGTCTTCAGAGATCTCAGTTAGGGTCAGTGTGCCCCAGGATTGACCTAGTCACTACATCTTTCTTATCTTAAAGTTGCAGCATAAGTACAGTGGGGCCTTGACTTACAAGTGTCCTGACTAACGAGTTTTTTGAGATAGCAGCTGTCTCCCGGCTGATTTTTTGCTTTGAATTGACAGAGTAATTTGAGTTAACGAGCTCCTTAACGAGCTCGGTCTCAGAACGAATTTAACTCGTAAGTCAAGGCCCCACTGTACAGCGCTTGACATGTCCTTATTGGAATGGTACCTTTGTAGCCTGTTTGAATAGGCACCTATCAGCAGGATTTTGTTGTCTTTTTGCGTTTGTTTTTGGGTTTGTGTGTGTGTGTTTTTTTTTAATATGTTTTTATTGATTTCAGAGAGAGGAAGGGAGAGGGAGAAAGAGAAACATCAATGATGAGAGAGAACCATTGATTGGCTGCCTCCTGCATGCCCCCTACTGGGAACCAAGCCCACAACCTGGACATGTGTCCTGACCAGGAATCAAACTGTGACCTCCTGGTTCATAGGTTGACACTCAACCACTGAGCCACACCAGCCAGGCTCTTTTTTGTTTTTAAGTAAGACACAGAAATAAGATCATTAAAACTTTTTTTAAAGGATATGACAGTTTGCGGGGATGTGGGTAAAGCATGGCATGCCCGAATGGTTTGATTCTCCCAGGCATGAAGGCATTAGTCTGAACTAAAGCTCTGTGATAGTTTCCCCTCAGAACAACATGGCAGGAATCTCCTGAGAACGTGTGTGTGGCCCAGACTCAAGCTGCCTGTAGCCTGGGTTGCAGTCATCAGCCCAAAACTTGTAGTTTATTAGCGTTAATCCGTTTTCTTCTAGGAGTAAACAGAATGCTGCTTTAGCATTCCTAGGACGTTTCCTCTGCCTGCTACAGATCAGAGACAAACTAAATTGTCTTTTCTTTTTCTCCCTCAATCAGCGTGCAGCGTTCTGACTACTTGAATACGTTTGAGTTCATGGACAAACTCGGAGAAAACTTGAAGATAAAACTAGCTCAGGCCAAACTTTAAGGTGGTTCCTCGGCTTAGGAGGACAGTGTTTTTTGGTAACTAGTCCACTGGTTTACATTTTTCTGTATAACACTCAAGGGAAGGGCGAAATCAGTTTTGTAATTTGTTTAGAAGTCAGGGTTTATCTTTTCTATAAGTTTACAGCCTTTTTCTTATACATACAGTTAATGCCACTTCAAGAATGTGGCTGGGACTTTGTAACTTTAAATCTTATTTTCTACTAATAGCTTAGGAATTACTTTAGTGCTGTTCATACATACCCTGCCACTTTTTCTCATGTTCCAAAATAAATGACCAAAAAGAAGAGTGCTTGAAAAGTAAATGATAGCCACAATTTTGGTCCCTAAAAGTGTGTAAAGTCGAAATTCACTCCCTACCCCACTCAGCATGGCCTGGGCTCCGGGTGCTGTTGGTGTAACAGGTGTCCCACCATGTGAGGTCCAACCGCACCTTAAACTTGCGCAAGAATTGTAACGAAGAGCGAGGGTGCAGCTACAGCGTGTTGAAGACACAGCAGTCGCTTGTGCAAAGAGCTCCAACGGAATGTTTCGAAGTGTTAAATGTTTCTGAGGCCGCTAGAGAGTTCGGAATCCAGAATAATACTCCCGGGGGGCTTGTCCTCTGTGCTTGTCTCCTCCTCCTGGCCTGTGGGGCCTACGCTATGCTGCCCCGAACAGCGCCTTTCATTCAAGTGCAATAATACGAGCTGCACCTTTTTGGGATTTCTGGCCTGTTTTATTTCCTTTCTATAAATGTGATTTTTCAGAAGTTGATTGTAAACACTATTCTAGTCTGTTCTTCCTCTGAACTGTTCATCTTGATTAAAATTAAGTGCTAATGACCAATCGGGTTTCTATTTCTCGAGTGTACTTTAGTTGCCAGGCACCATGCCAGGTCCTAGCCATAGGAATTTGATTTTGAAAAATCTCTGCCCTTATCCAGTTTACTGTGGGGGGGAAGGGATAAGTAAATAGACAGTCAGATGTGGCTCCTACAGTGAAAAGGAAAGAAGATCAAAGATAGGACAAAAGAGGTAATTGGAATATTAGGGAGTCAAACCTACGCACATGCTAAGGAGATATGGTATCATTATTGTGTAAGTTAATAGGGAGCCAGGGAAGGCTTAAGAAGGGAGGGGCATGATCCGATTTTCAGCTTGAAAAATAGCCCTCTGGGCAGCTTTTATGAAGAAGGAACAGTGGTGGAGGGAGGGAGAGGGGAGTGATTGAGGAAGGAAGACCAGTTAACGAGAGGCTATTGTAGTATTTCAGGTGGGAAATGATGAAGATCCGAACTGAACTCACAGTGGCCCTGAGAATGGAGAGAATGGGGTAGATCCTGAGAAAAGAAAATTGAATCAGTGGGGATTGGTGGGCCCCGGGAGATGGGATGGCGAGAAGGGAATAAGTCCGGTTTCCCGTGTCCAGCTGCAGGCCCGGAGAAAGGCTGGTCCACACCCAGCAGTATCGGCGTATTCTGGGGAAGGACGTTGAGGCATTGAGAGGCTCTGGTCCAGCTTCCACAACACATCAGTGGCTGTTCTGGCCTGGAACCCAGGGATTCTCATAGCTGAGCACATTTTCAGGTTGTATTGGAAGAAGAAAGCATCACATGGAACAAAATGACTGCATTGGATTGGGTGATCCTTGGGTAGGCCGTTGAGCACTCACAATGCCCTGGGAGTTGGTCAGATGAGTATCTGTGGCAGAAAAGCCCTGCCCCAATATCGGATTTAGCATTTTCCCAACAACCAATGTTCTAAGATGATCAGCAAATGAACAGATGCTGACCAATGCACCCAGAGACGGATGGTTTATTTTGTAACAGCATCGGGATCAGAGCTGTTGACCCGGAAAATGACCGATGCTCAGCACATCCCTGAAGACAGCAGGATCTGGGGACAGAGAAGAGGAGAGTTCTGGACTTCGAAATTCTCTAAATTGCCAGCACTCTTCCTTAAGTGGAATTTTTAACACAATATTTAAAATTTCATCTTAGCAGTTAGAATCACAGCTTTGCTGTACTTTGCCTAATACAAACAATCCTGAGATGCTCCTGGCAAGTGATTTCCCATCCATTTGAATATTTCTATAATAAGAATCTCCCCCAAATTAAGGGCCTTGTCTCTTCCTGTTAAGGAGATAAGATTAGGAACTAATAGAAAAATATTAAGGAAGTTAGTATTTAGATAAATACTGATTTAAAATCTGTACTTTTATCACCTCCCCCCTAGAGGTTTTATTTCATAGTTCCTATTTTTGATATTAGGGAGAATGTAGCATCCAAATTGTTCATTCCTCTGGAACCAGACACTTGAACAACTGACTTTGGATGGCGTCTTAGACTCTGAAAGAGGTGAATTTTGCAAACATTGCAGAATTGTCTGTAACATTAAATTGGATATTTTAAATTTACAGAAAAAATGTAAGAATAGTATGGAGAAATCCTTTATCAATTTTTTAAACTGTTACACCATTGCTATATTCTTTTCTGTTTTCCTCTCTTCATACACACACACACCTCCCCACCCCCACCCCCACCCCCACCCCCACCCCGAACCATTGCAGAGTAATTTGAAAATCGTGTACCCTTTATCCCTAGATAATCAAGTATGTATTTCCCAAGAAGAATAATGACATTCTCTTATATGACCATAATATAGTTATCAAAATGAGGAAATTGAATTCATACACTACAATATAGTTCCTATTCACATTACAGCTGCTCCAAGCATCTCTACAGCTTCTCTTCCAAGACCCAATCTAGAGTCATGTGTTGCATTTACTAGTAGTTGTCTATATCTCTGAAGTCTCCTTGTGTCTGTAACAGTCCCCAAACCTTTCTTTGTCTTTCTAGACCTTGGTATTTTTGAAGAATACAGGCTAGTTATTTTGTAGAACTCCCTCAACTTGGGTTTGTCTGGTGTTTCCTTGCAATTATATTTCAAGTTTCGCATGTTTGGCAGGAATACTATGAAGTGATACAGTGTCCTCAGTGTATAATAGTGGGAAGAGGAAAGGTCCTATAATGATGGTTTGTCTCAATACTGGTGAAGTCAGCTTTGCTCATTTGGTTGCGATAGTAGCTGCCTTGCTTCTCCATTCTGCATTTACTATTTTTCCCCTCTGTAAACTTAAGTAACATGTGGGGGGATGCTGTAAAAATACACTGGACGTCACCAAAATTCACCCATAGTTTTAACATTTATTGGTGATTTTATAATTCTATCATAGTCTGTTTTTAGATGTATTGGACTTAAAGCTTTCATTTAATTTCTGAGTGGGTATTATTCTCTTCCTAGTTGTAAAGAACAACTTTCCCATCTCTGCATTTATTTACTTATTTACGTTAGTATGGATTTAAAGGTTTCTGGCTTTATTCAATGAGTTATACTATCATGCATTTTGATGCTCAGATTGCCTCAAATTTCACCAGTGGGAAGCCATCAAGCTGGGTCCTGTCAGCATCGTAACATGAGTATTTTGCGAGCAGTTAATTGGGTAAAGAAAGCTACTATCTTCTATATTAGGCCGCCTAGTAGCAAGACGATTTTTAAGTGAGGTTTCCTCTGAGGAGCTTTACACGCAGTCTTCCTTTTCTAGCAATAGAACAAATTCCTCCTTGCCTTCCTTTCCAGATTAGACCCCCAAGTAGCTCAGCAGAAAGGGCTGGAGGATGCCATAAGAGACTGGGGACTTACGTCACAAGGTAGTGTTGGCCTTAAAGGACAGATCTGAGTTAGAAGCAAATGAAGGTACTAGAGTGTTCGGATCACCAGTTGCTGCTCCTTTGGAGAGATGAATAGATCTACCTTTGGTTTTGTATAGTTTACTGTATCCATTTTACTTTACAATAAAAAGGTTAAAAATATATTAGGAAATCTGTTTTGAATCCTTTGGGCCAATCGCATTCTTCTGGGTGAAATCCAAGGAATTTCTCTCCAGGTTGGCCTACCCTCCTGAAAGCCTCTTGGTTTACCTTGGATAGAGGGACCCAGTTCCAGTCACATGGTCTTTAACTTTTTCAATTACAGGCGAGAAGGTGTCTCTCTGAAATGTCCCTGTGGTTTCACCTGGATTGTACACAAAGAATTATGAGTAGAAATGCCTGAGGGCCTTTAGTTAGCTTTTGGGACCTTCCTTCTCTCACTTGAGGAATCCATGGCACTTTATTGTTAGGAGAATTTGGGTTGTTTAAAGCTTTCATTTGATTTTTGCCTGGGACTTATTCTATTCCTAGTTGGCCTTGCGTTGTTTTGCCTTATGCATTTTTTATGTGTTTGGAGACTAAGCTTCAAGATATTTTCTAACTGAATCACATTTTCCTATTTTCAAGCCACAGAATTTTTCTCCTACTTTTTTCCTACTTCAGGAGCATTTCCCTACAAGGTTTTGATACTGAAAATTTCCCAAGTAAAATGCTTAAAGTACATGATAGAAATGAAAACTTTGAATTTTTATTCCAATATTTTAGTTACTCACCTATTTAAAAATTTCCATATTTCCTAGTTACAGTTACTACATTTATTAGAATTACTCGATGTTTTTTTTTTTCAAACATGTTTCTATTTTTATTGTTTGAAATAGTTGGTGACTTGTTTTTTCCTGCAAATTAATTACCACACCTTGTACTATTCCAGGAAAACCTACAACTTGGATCTTAGCCACAGTTTTTAATCTGTTTTTTCAAGCTGGATCAAATTCTTTATATGAGGGGATTTTTTTCTTATAACTTTGAACATACTTTGCCCAATAAATAGATTTGAGCATGTCCTCTAATCCTGACACTTTTTGGGGATATCAGTGTTCCATAAGACCCACAGCCTCTCAATGCGGGTACTTCTCTTACAAGTCAGCTGCACCAGGAACTGGAATTGTACCAGTGCTAAGAGCCAGACAGCTTGGGTTCTGAGTCACTGGGTTTGTTACAGTGTTCTATAAGATTCTTTACTATTATGATGGAAATGCCTTTCAGAATTTCTTTGGAGTTAGCTTGGGTCT